ATTAGAATCTTGAGGTGATACTCCAGATAAAGTACAACACAAAGTCAAAGTGATAGAACACACCAAATGAAGTGAGAGAAATCATCAACATATAATTAAAGAAAACTTCCCAAATCAGAACCAACTTCTTCCAGGAAAAAGGTTTTCCAGGGTAAAAAGGTGTAGCACAATGGGTTGATTCTAAAAATGGCTTCCTAGTCAGGTGATTTGACTTTCCTCACATTGTAGGGTGTGAACATGCAAATCAGGTGACTGGATGAGGGACCTACCTAGCTTTATCATGCCACAAGTTGAAAATTAGTAGGTTAGCAGAAGAAGATAAGAGTCTCACTACTAGCAACAAAGCAGCAGCAGAGACTGTGGCTAGCCATCTCAGGATCAGATCCCTGCTCCAGTCAGACATGGATGTAGACAAAAGCAGCAGCAGAAACAGAAAGAGTGACCAACATGGAAAGTGGACCTGAGACAACTCCTCCATGGAGTCAGAGCCTGAGGCCTTAGCCTAAGCTTAAAGGAGGAAGGGGGTAAGGGCCATAAGGGGGAATGCCATAATTGGAAGGACTTAAGAACTTTGCAAAACTGATCCAAAGCCATGAGGCTTAAGGTCAAAGAGCTGGAAGCACACTTGAAAAGCTGTCATAACCGAAGAATTTTATCCTGTTTCTTACCTGAATTGTAACCTGTTCACTTTCCTAATTACCTGAATAATTAGAAGTATGGTTCTGAATTCTCTGTGGCCACTGCAGCTGATTGCAGATAGAGTAGTAGAGCAGTGAGGGCCCTAGGGAGGATGGATGGTGCTGGAACTAACAGAAGTAGGTACAGGGTAGAAAAAGGTTTGTGCTGTGGGTGGTGGTTTTGAGGACAGTTTTTCATGTGAAGTTAGTGGAAGTCAGACTCAGCCACTCTCATGCCTTCATTCTTTTCACAAAGATTTATCAAATATCTATCGTATTTCCAGGGTATAATGTTTGATCAAATGCCTAGTATAATGGATGAAACCAGATCCATATGATAAAATACTATGATCACATTTCAAAACACTGAAGACAAAATTCTTTTCAATTTGGAATTCTATATCTAGGGAAGAATAAGAATATAATAGAACAGAGACATTTTAAAAAATAAATTCAGGGTAGGGGGTGAAGGAAATGGGAAGACACTTTTGGGAAAATGAATGTATTCAAACTTTGTAAATAAATCAGTATATTAAAAATATTCAGCCTATCAACAAATGAATGAATAGAAAAACTGGTATATTCACACAATGGAGTAATACGCAGCAATGAAAAACAATGAACTTGTAAAACACTACACAACATGGGTGTTATTATGTGCCGTTGAGTTGTCTGTGTTTCATAGCGACCCTATGTACAACAGCCCTAAACCTTGCTCTATCTTGTGCCAATCTCATTGTCTCTGACACACCTACCCCCATTACCCCAGTCACTGAATCAATCCATCTCATTGACGGTCTTCCTCTCCTGCATTGTCCCTCCATCCTCCCAAGCATGACATCCCACTCCAAGGACTGATCCCGCCTTGCAACTTGTCCAAAGTATGTCAGATGGAGCTTCAGAAGCCTTGCCTTCAAGGATCAGCCTGGTTTAACCCTTTCTAGGATAAACCTGTTCCTTCTCTTAGCATTCCATGGTATATTCAATATTCTTCTCCAGCACCACCGCTCAAAGGCATCGATTTTCCTTCTATCATTCCTAGTCATTGTCCAGCTCTCTGACACATAGCAAATGATTGCAAAAGACCATGGTCTGTATCAGGCACACCTCAGTCTCCAGAATTACATCGTTGCTCTTCAGTACTTTGGAGAAGTCTCTAACAGCAGACTTTCCCATCACAATATGTCTTTTAATTTCCCG